CATTCGTTCTCTCGTACAGGGAGTGAGACGTACCATGCTCTGATCATCTTGAAGAAGCCTGGTCTGCGAAAAAGGGTCACCAACATGGAACAAGTCAGAGGTTCTGTGCAAGATGCCCTTGGCAATGCTTCGACAAGGGTGTTGCTACATGATCTGAGCCTCCTGGCTTTTGCTGAGCAGGTTGAGATGGTCTCTCGCTCCTTCCTGTTAGTTTCTCCAGGAGGAGCTGCCTCCATGATCTCAGTGTTCTTGCCTGCCAAGTCGACGCTCATCCTCGGCAGTTTCTGCTCGCAGTGTCTCGTCAGCTCGTGCTACAATCATGAAGTCGATTACTTGTTCAGCATCTTTCCTTCCAGGGATGACGTGCGCGTTGTGCTCTATCCCATCAAGGAGGAGGATTTTGTGCCTCCCAACAAGCCTCAAGGTTGTGACTACCGCTTTGGCGATCAGTCCTGGATGAAGCAGCAGGCTCAGCTGGCTTTCACGTCCTTCTTCCTCTCTCGGGACAAGCAAGCTTGAGTGCATGTGGCTGGTAGAGAGGCGCGATGGCGTCGTGAGCAGCGAGTGGAGGCTGCACTGCCAGTCTGAGTTGCTCAGCTGAGATCGTGGTAGAGAAAAACCTACACCCTAGAAACTAAACAGACCTTGTTGTGAGTGCACAGCTTATAGCACTAGTTTTAAAGATATTGACTAAATATTTTGGTACAAAGATTGGTACAAGGAACACATTTCAGGACGGTACAAATCATGATGAGTGTTTTCCAAAACTGGTACAAATCAGTACTGGATTATTCTTTATAATCAAGTTGTATGTGACTTAGCCGAAAAAATGGTGAAAGGCGGGTGAGACATAATCGTTGTATGCAAACACATCTGCGCAGTTTATACCAATATTACACTGACTTGGTTGTAAGTCATCTTACAGTCCGGTAGGCTATTGCATGTCAATCGCTGCTCTCCATGTCAACGTCTGAATGAAGTGGAGAATGAGTCTGTTGGGTCAGGCTTCGAGCAGCGTCAATTCTTCTTACCCTACACAAAGTCAGTCACTGTCCATTGCAATGTAACATGTCCACACGCACCGTCGTACACCTTCGTCACGGTTGGCAACCGCATTCCTCTTCCTCTTGTTCTTTCGGCCTGTGTTGCTCCGACATAACCTTTTGTACATAGTCGTGTATGAAAGCTCGGTGAATCTTTTTCTCTGTTTTTTCCATGCATTCGGTCCATACTTCTCCTTGACAAGTTCAACGTAACCATGATTGAAGCACTCTGAATAGTTCTCATGGTCGATCCCAATATCAGTACTCAAATTTGCAAGTCTTCTGCCCATTACCTCGATGGCCAACATGACTGCTTTTGCTTTGCAAAGGTTCTTCTTCATGTTGGCACATACTAGATCTGTTCCTTCCAAACGTTTGAGTGGACCAATACGCTTCCATTCTCCATTAATCTTCTCCTCTTGCCCTAGGTGCCATTTCTGCCACATACTTTTGCACGGCGTCTTCTGAGGGAAATAAACCTTGAGGTACAGGATGTTGCATCCCCCCCCATGTAAACGTTTCGCCTTCAATCAGTATGCCTGTCC